TTTATTACATCAGATTTTTGAAGGTGGGTTTTTTTTTCCTGGGAGAAGGGGGTGGGGGGGGGGGTCCGCACCCACGCAGCGTGGATGTGGCCACTGGTGTACTATCAGTCTCAATAACAAACACATTGGCGGTGACATGCAGTCAGAGTGATGGCTGAGGAGGGTGGTGGGAGGGGAGAGGGGGAGGGTCAAGTGTCATGTCAGACTCCGCGAACCAATAGCAGCGCGCCTTGCTAACTCTCAGCCAATCAGGGACGGAGGAAGCGTACGCGCGTCCTGCCTCCGAACTGTGAGGAGCTGAAGGAAATGTCCAAAAAAGCCGCTCGGGAGTTTCGCGTCTTCATTCGCCAAACGCATCCGAGCTTCGCGATCCGCCTCGCCCGTCTCGTCAAGGCTCCGCTGCCGGTGCTCGCTGCCGGGCCGGAGAGCAGCCGGGTGGTCGCTGCTTGCAGGTGGGGTGGAGGGGGCGGGGGGGGAGGACGACGTGGAGGAGGAGGAGGAGTTTTTTCGGTTGTTTTGGACACGCTGGACGCGGTGCGGGAGCAGAAGCAGCAACAGCAGCAAGCGGACGCCGCCGTGTTCCTGCTTCGCGGCTTGAACGCCATGGGTGAGTCGCCACACAGCACGCATGCGTTGGAGGGGGCGGGGGGGGGCACTTTTTGGGCTTCGCGCGCCACGCGGCGTGGACGGAGGGACGGCTGCCGGTTAGGATTGATCGTGCGCCGGTGGCGTGCGGGTTCAAGTGTGTGGAAGGAGAGGAAAGGGGGGGGGGGGGGCTGGAAAGTTGTCCGAAGCTTAACTTTCAAAACACTGCTCATGTTTCGGCGTGAGGCGTCAAAATGATTCCAAGTGGCGCGATTCCCCTTGCATGCGCGATGGAATTCTTTGACGTCCGAATGCCAAACAATGAGAGCGAAATAATCCAGGGAAAAGCATGTTTTAAAAAGTTAAATAAGACCGCCCCCCCCCCAAAAAAAAATAGAGGCGTAACATGACAAAATAGAAGAGCTCCGTGAAGCCATAGTGCGGCTTCTGCTGGAGTCAAGTTTGATTTCGCTCGCGTCTCAGCACCGGACGGTCGATTTTTGGCCTTTTGGACTTGATTTTTGCTCCACTCGCCTCTCAGCGTTAGAAGCATTCAGCACAAACTGTCCCAAGCATAAAAACAAAAAACAGATTAGTCCGACCATGAACTTGAACATTTATCCAAATGACTTGAGCGAATACACTCGAATCTCAGCATTCGATTCAGGATCAGCGCATCCTGTCAAGTTCGTCAATAGAACAAATCAAGAGCAAGTCTCGGCATGCGTCCACCAAACAAAAAAAAAAAAAACGAATGTAGATTTTGGACCGTTCACACGCTTGAGGCCCGTACATGCAGCCGGAAGCGTCACGATGCATGTCGTCAGCCTGCCTGCATGTGTACGAATGAGTTTCAGCATGCGTGTTGCATAGCTGTCGAATTGAACCCGTTTGGGATTTGACACGCTTGACTTTCAGTATTCGGGGTCAAGGCGGGACGCGTGTGGTGGAGCAAAAAATAACGATGCAGCTCGGAATTCATCTTCAGACTTTTCAGACACTCGAGTCTCAGCATTATTTGGGCGAGACTCGCCTTTTGAGACGCCAGTCTCAGCACTATCCGTCAAAAACGCATTCACGTCACTGCTTCGCGTTTCTGCAGTCAGGTCTCAGTATGGTGCATAAATTTAAAAAAAAAAAAAAAAATCCAAATGTATATAGACACACCCAAATCTCAGCACGACCTCCAACTGTTTCGTGTTCAGCGTTTGTGCACGTTGAGATGGAAATTGTAATACTGTAGTTCGGTTGAAGCTCATTTTTTTCCTGAATGTAAATCTCAGCCTTATGTTGGAAAAAAAATTCATGAGGAGATTTGCCATTTTTACACTCATATCTCAGCATGATGCGGAAAGATGCAGAACTATACAGTGCACCCACATTGCTGTGCAATCTTTGCATCGAGTAAAAAATTCAAATCAAGCCAAGGTATTTTCTGCAAAATGAATTAAAAACAACTTGCAGTTGTTTTTGATACACGCAAAGTACACGCGAAAACATATACTAGCGTGTATACTTTTTGGGGGTGCGGGGGGGGGGGGCAAAAAGAAACATTGGCGTTAAGTTTGTCGCGTTTGCGTTTCAGCATGATACACAACATGCATCCCGTATCTCGCTTTCAACTTTCAAAAGTATTTCGGATATTTCTTTTTGGGGGGTGGGGGGGGGGGTGCAAAAAGAAACATTGGCGTTAAGTTTGTCGCGTTTGCGTTTCAGCATGATACACAACATGCATCCCGTATCTCGCTTTCAACTTTCAAAAGTATTTCGGATATCAATTCGATAACGCCTGAGTTTCAGCATGAAACATTGCGCGAACCTGTAACGAAGTCACACACAGGTGAGTTTCAGCATCGCACGATGCGCTTGAGTGTCAGCGTGCTCCACAAGCGTGATTGAGAGCAGAATTCACTTTCGGACTGACCTTGAACTGACTTTCAGCACGATGATGTGCAAAGTTCTGTTTCTTTTCGATACACTTTCGTTTAGGCACAATGCTTCAAAAGTGCATCGCAACCACTCGGGCTGTGATTTATTAGTATTTATTTTTTTTTTACATTTGTTGATGCTCGTGTTTCGGCATGACGCGAGCATAGGCTGCGAAAATAAATATAATTTATCTCAAGGTTAAACTTGAAATGTCAGCGCCAAGACGCAAACATGCATTTTGCATCTCATGGAGCAAAAGACACGCGCGGTCTTTCGTTTTGGGGCCTTTGAAACACTTGAGTCTCAGCATGATGCTTGCGTGCAAGCAAGTGAAGCATAACCGAAGCATAAACGACTCATAGATGACGTTTGATGTGCTTGGGATTCCGCATGCGCGCGTAAAAGACATTACGGCACTGCCAGTGTGGCCTTGCAGCAGGAACTCACTTCTTTTTATTTATTTTTTTTGATACGGTTGGTTTTCAGCATGATGATGCAAGCGTGAAAAAAAAATGCAGTTGATCTTGAATTTACCCTCGATTGACTTCTTGAGTCCATCTGGAGAACAAAAGACGGCTTTAGTGACTGATCCATTCAACTTGGCTTGAAGCACGCAAAGAATAACACGAACGCGCTGCATCTCGGTCGGATTTATTTGAAGGGCTAGAACAGGAGGCAGTTGGGGCGAATCCAGTTTGAATCTGGGCATGCACGCCCGGTGTGCAGAGAGCCCAGCAAAAAAGTGGCTTTGGAACGGGCCGGACCCGGCCGCGACTAACCGCTCTCGCCCTCGGCTTGCAGAACCGGCCTTCGGCGAGGTCAACCAGCTGGGCGGCGTGTTCGTCAACGGCCGGCCGCTGCCCAACGCCATCCGGCTGCGCATCGTGGAGCTGGCGCAGCTGGGCATCCGCCCGTGCGACATCAGCCGCCAGCTGCGCGTCTCGCACGGCTGCGTCAGCAAGATCCTGGCGCGCTACAACGAGACCGGCTCCATCCTGCCCGGCGCCATCGGCGGCAGCAAGCCGCGCGTCACCACGCCCACCGTGGTCAAGCACATACGGACGTACAAGCAGCGCGACCCGGGCATTTTCGCCTGGGAGATCCGCGACCGGCTGCTCGCCGACGGCGTGTGCGACAAGTTCAACCTGCCCTCCGTCAGCTCCATCAGCCGCATCCTGCGCAACAAGATCGGCAACCTGGCTCAGCAGGGCCCCTACGAGGCGGCCAAGCAGCCGCCGCAGGCCCACGCGCACCCTCACGCGCACCCGCCGCAGCCCGCCGCCCTGCCCTACAACCACTTGTACTCCTACCCCGGCTCCAAGGTGGCCACGCCGCCGGGCATGCCCGCGCTCCCCGGACACATGGCCATGCACCGGATATGGCCCTCGTCGCACTCGGTCACGGACATTCTGGGGATCCGATCCATTACCGAGCAGCAAAGTAAGCCGGAAGCACGCCTCGCCTGCTCTTGTCCCTACTCTGTGTGTGTGTGTGTTTGTTGACATTTCTTTCGGCATCCCTTAGCGGATTTTTCACTTTAAAAAGTGTGGTTATCAGTTTGTGGGCTGCGTCATGCGTGCGTTAAAGGCTATACCACTCCCTTACCCCGGAAACACGTGTAACACGACACGATGTAAATCAACCTTAATACTCAACGTCAACACGAGATTTTGCTTTCACTTTTCTTTTTGCGGTTCTCCAAGGAGGCGGGAGAGGGGAGCGTGGTCAGGCCGCTGCCAGGCTTCCTCTTCCCGGCTCGACACGCAGCTGCACCGCGCGGGGGGAGGCTCACGGAGGAATTGGTTGCAGTAGATGAATTTGCGCGTGCTATAATATTTTAAACTCCACGTTAAAGCTCTAGAGGACGAGTTTGAACAATAATTAAAAAAAAAAATTCTCAGGAGCTCGCTTTGTTTTATTTTGACGGGCACTCGGGCTTCAACATGAGTACATGCGAAGTGCCATTTGAAAAGACAACTTTGATTGACATCGTGTGACTTCTCGTGGACTAGGAAACTCACACACACACACACACACACACACACACACACGGAGTTGTGCCTTCTGGGAAACAATGTACAGGCTATATCATTATTTTAAGAGAAGTGTATTCAGGATTTTAAATCTTCCACTGTGTTATCAGAAATCGGCTGACATCCCATAATAGTTCCGCCTAACAGATAAATTGTAAGAATTACGCGTACACTTCAATGAGGGTGTGTGTGTGTGTGTGTGTGTGTGGTGACGTCACGCGTAGGGATTTCGTGAGTTTAAATTTTTCATCGATGTGTAAGCTTATGTTAAATTATCAATTATTTTCATTTTACAGATGCAATATGCAGTTTTGCATCAAACGATAATGTATATATTTTTGAGTAAATGTGACAAAGTAAAATACGATCCCAACAATTTTCTGGAATGTTGAGTTCAAAAATGATGTCGCCGAACAAACCGTGGGAGTGTGTGTGTGAGTGTGTTTCGTTGCATTTGTTTGAATTTGAATTCAACACCACCATGAAAGACTAAAATGTGGGTTTAAAATAAAAAGCAGAAAGGCCACCGCAAGAAAAGAAAAAAAGTAGAAGCTTGCATAAATAATATCAACAATCATGACCGCCCCCAAAAAACGTCTAAGAGAGAAATTTAAAATGCTACTGCAGTACAATTAATGAGGAAAAAAAATATAATCAATCAAAAAAATCATGACACAAAATGAAATCAAATATAACGTGAAGTAAGAACACATTAGAATGTGATCCGTCCAGTGAAATATTAAAGAAAAATCCATCAAGAATGACGGAAACTAAATGGGGCAAAACACACACACACACACACACACACACACACACACACACACACACTCCTGAATTGCGAAATGTGGATCCATTACATAAACTATATGCACAAAAAAAATAATGTAAAAAAATCTATCGACAAAATTAACACGTGAATTCATGATGAAGTCAAGCTCATATGAATTCATATTGTAACCAAAACAGATTTTCACCACACATAAAATGACCGCGTCAGCAGATTCCGACATTGGGCTTGCGTTGACGTGATTTAAGCCCACAAAATTGTCATGTAATGAATAAAACGCTATTTGGGATTTTTGTCATATTTGTCATACGACAAACAAGTGTAATTTAATGGTATCTGGGCACAACATGTCAAACACCTGCACCCGTATAACGAGAGCTGTATTCAAAATATGGCGTTTTTACACTTGTTACGGTTGATCGTTTGACTTGTAGGTTGCAGCGATGTACAAGGATACCAGATCACACCAAGAGGCTGTTCTTCATAATTCGGGGCGAGATCGAAATCACCAAAATATTAGAAACAAGCTTTGTGATGTAAATGTCAAGTCGGAATGTTTTTCGCGGGCACGTTAGGTCGCCATTTGAGGCCTTGTGAGAACGGAAAATGCAACGATTTGACGACATTCAGATTTTTATTGAATTACTTATTTGAATGAACTATGAATATTTGTGGAATCGTAACAATTTATTTGTGCCTATAGCGGCACCACCCAAGGTGACAAAAGTGGGCACTTAAGTCCAACTATATGTGTGTAAAAACAAAGTGGCCAAAGAACGAGGACTGATTCAACTTCTTTAAAGTTCAGACTCTGAGATTTTCGGAAGTACACAAGTAACCACATTTTCATTACTTCTCACAACGGCAAACAGGGTGCAAAGAGATCCTCCATTTTTCTTTACCATTTGAAGTTTATTTTAGGTTCGAAATTGGTAAAAGCTTTCTGAACAACGTACAAATACTTTGTTACTGTACTTAAATAGATTTTTCAGTTATCTGTATCCTTATGTTCACCGTGTACATTTTGGATATCTTATTTGTACTTTCTGATCGTTAGTTTGCTAATATGTATGTTGTATTGTTTTACAATATAAAACAGAAGTAAACAGTGGGACCTTAAGTCAACCAGAGTTGACATCATACTCGTCTTATTGATTGTTGAATTGATTGATTTGAATTTGGGAGACTTAAAAGAAGAGGGGAAAAAACGAACCACAGAGCTAAACTACATTCACATTTATTTGATCTTTGTTTCGTTTGTTGTCAAAACTTCATCCTAGCCCCGAAATGGCGTCGAATGCTCCCACAGTCCCACTTGACAGTTACATCACACTCAAAGCGCGTCTAATAACATTTGAGTGATTTATACCTCATCCCGAATTATTAGGAACGACCCCTCCGTGTTACCTGGCGTGGTTGTACGCCACCGTGACGGCGCAGCACAAAATACAACCGCTGGCAAATGTCAAAATTCACATATTTTTCATACGGATCTCATTATAGGTGGGCAGGTGTCTCCAATGACTGTGGCCAGTTAGAACATGGGTTGAATCAGGGCCTTTATTTATTCGACTTTTTTTTTTTAAAGTCTGAACTTCTTCTTAATTACAGTGAATGAGTCTTTTTGCTGAGTTTTGTACTAACATTAATCTAACATTATCGCAACTAGCACGGCCATCATTTTGTGTCTGTTGGGGCACGACATTAGATTTAACGGCGTTTTTTATAATGATTTCTTTTTGTCACCCACCGACCAGACGCCGAGTGGCTTGCGCACAGCGAGCAGCTGTGCCACAGCACCCAGCATCCCGGCCTCCCGACGGCCCACCACCCGAGCGTCAGCCTCCACGGGGTACAGCGGCACCACGT